CTATCAGACTGATGGGTGATGCAATGGGAAACTATTTTAACAAATGGGACTTTCATGGTGCCAAACCAAAGTTTAACTCAGATAAATAAAAAATCATGACATTTTATTATGCACAATTTGATAAAAGCTTATAATGAGGTTAAAATCTTAAAAGTTAGTAAGATGCAACAGAATCTAACTCCAAAGTTTCAGACTTTCCAAAAGTACCTCTGCTTGCCACTTTTAGCATATCATACCTTAAGGCGATCCTTGAAAACCCATCTCCATAGGGAAGCCTATCCCACCTGTATAATAACTGGCCTTTACTTCTTCCTAACTCATCTCAACTCAACTTAACTTCTAAACTCATCCCATACAGTTATTAACTTTGGTATCACTTGACCTTCCTAATAGATTGTAAGCTGTTGTATTGTAACTGTACTGTCGCCTTCCATTTTGTAAAGCGTTGCACAAACTGTTTGCACTATATAAATCCTGTATAGTAAACATAATAATTACATATTTAGAAGGGCAAAAAAGATGTAAACAACCGCTAGTAATCCAGCTTCATCAGGAAGACAGGGGTGATTTAAAGCATCATCACAGTAAGTACAGCAAATATGAAAGAATACAAAAAAATACAAATAAATATACATATAATTTACACAAATATGGAAGTTTCACAAGATTGGTTACTTTTTGCTATCAAAAATGTAAATATAGTGAATGCTGCAAACCCATGACCCCGGTGGGTGGCTGCAGGGGCAGATATAGGAACAAATATACTATATACCATATACTTCTCTAAAATACAATAACCAAAACTTAACAAACACATTTCATATGAGAATTGGGCTATGATTCAATTAAACATTGGTACACAATACCTTAATATTTATATCCATTTTAAATTTATGATTGATGTATGCTGTTCTATGGCCTCCTGTGATCGACCACTCGGGCATTATACACAATAGTCATTAGGGTAAGGATCTCATTATATTCCAGTAATTTAATTCCCAAATTCATAGTTATTGCTTACCTGCTGTATCTGATATTTCCTCACAACCTTGGGTTGTCAGACCAGAGGGCAGTTTGGCTATTGCAAATTGAAATAGCCAATGCTTTTCAATGGGAACAAATCTTTTTTTTTTTCTCTATTCTGACATCGATCGTTTCAGAATAAAGAAAAAAGGACACAGCAGTGTTTCTCTCCTTGGCGGCTGGGAGCAGGAGCTTCTTGAATAGACCCCTTAGTCGTCTAAGTAGTTACTGTATATACATGTTTTGTTACCGGCTACTGCCTGGTGGTGTGTAGACATCAAGGGGTGTATTTATAAAACATTCACAGAGCTGTTCACTCAGTGAATGTCTGTATTGTAGATTCACACCACATAAGCACCACTTTATGGCGCCAAGGAACATATGAAGCTACCATGCTTCTCTGCTCCCTTTAATGGCCATAATGTGGTGCGAGTCTACAACACAGACATTTTCAAAGTGAACAGCTCTGCAAATGCTTATAAATACACCCCTTGATGTCTACATATCACCAGGCAGTAGCCGGTGACAAAAAAATGTATATAACTAATCAGATGACTCAATGCCACAGTGGGCAGCATTCTAAAACCTTGCATTAATTATATGACATTACTAACTTCAAAGACTCTTCCTTTTCTCCCCACTGGAATAGCCAATGTTAAAGCCAGGCCTTTCAAGATTTCCTGTCACCGTCCCCCATCTAATCTCATCACACAAAGACATTAACACAGCAGCTAGCATTCTCAGAAGCAAATGTCAGCAATGGAAGCCCACACATTTCTCTTGTAATACATTTCCTTTTACAAAAAAAATATGATATTTGATATTAGTAAGAAAAGCAGATGTAAATGGTTTCAGATATTCAAGACTAAGAATGAAGCACAGTAACCCTTAGATATTGATTACAATGTATTCATTGATCTTACTAATTTAAACTAAAATCTCATTGGTTACTATGATCTACTATACTAGGCATACTGATAATACATATACTTTCTCATTATTGCTGACTTGAATCTCTTCTATTTCAGTTGGTTTTGATGAGTGTATTTGGTGAAAATGTTTAATAATTATTACAGTGAAATCGGGAATATATTGGTGGTCATTCAAAGTCTAATACTGTGACTACGTGACATTTATATATGTGTATTATTCACTTTACATTGTGCAGCATTTAGTTATCTGTGTAACAGAAATACACAATCTATTCATCATTGTACTTCGACTCTTCTCTTATTAAAGTGACATTAAAGTCAAAAAAACATTTCCCTCCCCCTAATGTTAATGTTAGCACTTACCTTAAATTATTAAAAAACTCTGCTAGCAGTAGATATAGGCAAAAAAAACCCCGGAGGGTTTAGAAACGCTTTAAAGATGTTCTGCTCAACCTGCTTTCTTAATATGAAAATTCAGATATTTACAAATCTGACATGGTAGTGGGAACATGGTGTCTAGTCCATTTAACTGGATATATGGTGATCTGTACAAATTCAATCTCTTGTTAGTAAACACTTTGAGGTTAATTTACTGAAGGATTTGACAATTTTCACACAATTAGTTGTGTGAATATTCACTTAACTTAACCCATCATGTGCAGATGAAAATGATTGGATAACTTAAGTGAATCTTTGCACAGTTTATTGTGTTGGTATTCTCAAAAAAGCCTTTAGTATATCAGCCTCATTTAGTTGCACAATGACTGCACTGAGATATGTAGTGTACACATACCCTAAACAAAAAAAGATTGATACCTATTCATGTATACGTAACTCTTGAAGAGGAACTGAACTCAGGAAGCTGTGCCCAAATGGCAGAGAAAAGGCAAATGACTAGTCACTTGTATTGCCTGTAGTCTCCATGCAACTAATCTTTCCCCATTACTGACTTACCGTGTATTGTTCTGCACTGTGTCTCTGTGTGGAGATGGCCATCTTGGTAGAGGCAGGGCTTTGCTTTCTCATGTCAAAGCCTCCAGCAAGGAGAACAGTGAACAGTACATAAGTGACCACACCAAATCTTACTCTAAATCGTCCAAAACTAGCAGTCAGAGCCAGCAGTGCCTGAGATCTCACACTGCAGACATGTCTATGAGGCACCCTCATATACAGGGAAGTGCACTGCCATTTTTCAGAAGGAATTCCAGACAAAAGCAACATTTAAGGGCATTTCTTAGACACAATTAAAACTTCTAGATGTTCCTTGTAACATAGCAAATCTTAACTTTTCTGGTTTAGGTTCACTATAACTGTAAAGAGACATCAGGATATTTTGTGAAATTTTTTAAATTACATTACTGGATTACGTTTTTTCCAGTATCTGCAGTATGGAAATTATGCATTGTGAAATCTGCTCTGCTTCTTCGACAATGACTCGGAAATCCTTAAGTTTTTTTTTTATTAAAGCAATATGTTTTGAATAAAGAACAACTACTTAAATGTAAAAAAGGCAGAAAAATACACTTACACTTGCTCAAGAGGTTTACTGTATTTAGTCAATACACATAAATAGAGCTGGGTATTTTTCCAATGTTTTATTCATCAAGCTCACATCTAATTTTTGTGGCTTGTATCTCACTGTGTGTTCTTTTGTTAACTTTTTTTAAATTGAAATACAGTGTATAACAAAAGTAACAGCAGCTTTTACTACCAACCCTCTAACTCTCTACGGAGGAGTCGACTGCCCTGCGACTCATATGCCTTGTGGTTGATAGTTCCAGGAACATCTGTCACTATCAATACAGTTTCTGAAGGCAAAGTGTTGAAGAGGACCTGTCTTTTTCTGAAGTACATATTATTTGAAATCAGCTTGATGCTGTGAAACTTATGCAATGTAACTTGCATAAACCACATGAGATAGAGTGCTTTTGCTCAGATAAACTACTCTTCCCCATATGAGCCCACTAACAATAAGTTATTTCTTAAGTAGAATATGTGATATTTCTTCACTGTTATAGGAATGCTACTTCTACTGTCACTACTGGCTTTCACATTTGTGCAGCTCTATCTCTAGGCAGAAGTATACAATGGAGAGGAAACAGAAGCAGAAGGATGTAACATATTTTGTTTGTCGCTACTTTACATTCAGCTGCATCAGAATAAAAGATGGTCAATGGCTCTTTTCACATCTATACTTTTTGTATTACGTGGTTGCTGTGTATTGTAGGTTCCTTGTACATCCTACATGCATTTTATACGCGTTGTTTTCCATTTTTCTGGAAATCGCATAAAAGCTGCATCAAGCATAACTATTTTAAATGCTCCACACCTTCAAGGAACCAATTTATAAAAACAGGGCCTTCATTTTCTGTGCCTCTTTACTGGTGGTGAAACCTTGCCTGTGATTGTAATTAGAAACATAAAATGAATTGTGGTACATATTTAGAAGGGTTTAAAAAAAAGCCTCCTTCTATTAATCTGTATAATATGCAGCAGGTAAAATTAAAGCAGAACTCGGGCACAAATTTTATTAACCCTTGCAGCCGGGCACCCACGCACTGTAAGGGTTAACTGCGTGTTTTTGTCTAGGTTAAAAAAAAAAGTTATACTTACAAAATCCTCCAAGCCACCCGGCTGTCATAGCGCTCCCTCCTCCCCCTTTACTCCTATGCTGTAGCAATGGCATGTGCCTTTGCTTCCTCACGTGCTACACACGGTGTATTAAACATGATAACTCAGAGACCTTAGACCGCTGCAGCGAAGGGGGAGCGAGGTGGAAGGGACCAATCTAAGAACCAAATAGCACAGAGGATCGAGTGAGTTTAACCTTCATTTTCCAGCTCACTCCCTGTAACACGCAGGTTCACAGTCTGTTCATATACTAAACTGTTCAGAATGTATTACAGATAAGTGTTTGAAAAGTCTCACCAACTCAACAAAATAAACTCCAAGAATTCATGTTATTCTAAGTACATTTGGGATGTTACTAAAATAGAAAAATCAGTTACATCAAAAGGTAGTTAATTTTTATATCATGTTATTTAGTTTCAGACCCAGAGTTTAAGAATACCAGAGCTGCACCGAAAATCCCACTTTTGGAGAGGAGTTGTGAGCATCACACTTATTGAGGGGCAAGATCTCAAAGCCATGGATGCTAATGGACTAAGTGACCCTTATGTAAAATTCCGACTAGGACATCAAAAATACAAAAGCAAGGTAACTGTTTTTCATGTTATTTTTAATTTTCATTATTTTAGAAATGCATAAATTTTTTTTAATAGTCTCTGCACTCTGGGGTTTAAGAGAATGAGAGGACTAAGTCAGATATAAGATGTGTGGGCCTAAAGTATGTACCTGGGTACATGAGTGTGAGCAAAATGTAGGTACATTTTTATTGGTTGTGGTTAAAAAGTGGTAGACCTTTTTAGGCATTATATACCAATCAACAGAATAACAGCCCTTTGCCCCCACATTATCACTCCCACAGCCAAATGCAATGCTGAAACAGAGAATACTGTTGCAATGTTGCACTGCAAAGTGGATCTAGCACATGTTTTAACACAGGTGGTTTATTCATAATGGTTATGTCAAAAAATGAAAGATGCCCCTATTTGCATGCCTATTATAATCAACTGTTAAAGACTTCCAACATGTTACAAGAGACCAATTACAAGACAACATTAGTGAGAATGCAAATATTTACAAAAAGACCATGCAGATGTTTCAAAAGACCAGCAATAATACAAGAAGCTATAATAATAAAATAACAATAATACAGTAGACCACTGATATCTTATTAAAAATGGCTAGACTGCTACAATAAATTACTACAGGTTTGTAAACCATGCACAATTTGTAGTGGAGTGGAGGCAAGCTGGGTTAGTTAGTTAATTTGCTATGTTATGCTATGCTTTAAATGCACCTTATGACCAAATATCAAGACAGTGCAGTGGAGAGATTGATGATGTTATTTTTAGTACTGCTGTAGTACCGTGTTTCCCCGAAAATAAGACCTACCCTGAAAGTAAGACCTAGCACTATCTTTAGAGATTCCTGTAATATAAGACATACCCCGAAAATAAGACCTAGTTTGGTGATAGGGGACTCACATGTATTGCTGCATCCAAGCAGCCAGCCAGGGGTCCGAGAGTAACGTTCATGCAAACACGGCGGGGACTGACCGCCGGTCCGCAGCTCCCGCATGCTGCCAGTCCGCACACCTGACTGCCTCGGCTTTTGCTACCGCCAGGCAGAAAATTGAATTTCCCAGCAGGCAGCGGCACAGCCCGGCATGGCCAGTGGGGTTGGAGTGAGGTCAGGTGAGGTGACTGAGCCTCAGTCACTGAGGGAACTTCTGACTGGAGGTTTGTGCGACAAGAGAGGTGGCTCCCTGGACGGCTTTTGAGAGGAGAGCTCCAGGACAGCTGCAGCCTGCAGGTACTGTGACACTGTGTGTGACAGTATTTTTTCACTCCCCTTCTTCTCCATCTTCTTAATTAATACATCCCCCGAAAATAAGACCTAGTGTGATTTTTTTGGGGGAAAAAAAATATATAAGACAGTGTCTTATTTTCGGGGAAACACGGTGAGTACCTATCTCACCAATGAGGTCAGATTTCCGACAGACAGAAGGGACTCCCCATTACCTCTGAATACACAGGTGGCAAAAGTCCAGTTTGGCACAAGGTGATCATTTTCACATTCTTGTTTAGTATAATCAATATATCCACACTGTATTGACAACAGTTAATAAAACAATTCCTTCTTATGTGGAATATATAAAATCTTTATTAATTATTGATTGTGTCTTTTTAGACTCTTCCAAAGACCCTGAACCCTCAATGGAGGGAGCAGTTTACCATGCATCTCTACGAGGAACATGGAGGCGTAATAGACATCACAGTATGGGATAAAGATGCAGGCAAGAGAGATGACTTTATTGGGAGGTAAGGGACTGCAGGAAATATAAAAATGTGTGTGCCTGCTTATCTTTGTTCCTAGAATATCCTATATTCAATAAAGGCCAATAAACATTTTAACCAGCAGATGTCATATTTTGCCTTATGCTGGAAAAAAAGAATTCCTCTTATTATGTATCTTCTTCTATTATGTTTTACCTCAAAATATAGAAAAGAACGTTATTGAATGCATAAAATAATCTGTTAACAATGTATTTTATGCATACAGCTATACATACACATAGACAGACATTTAATTGATAGATAAACTTTATATAGATTAGCATGGCACTCTGTCACATGTTAGTGCCTACTTTAGAGTCTGGAGGGACAGTTTAACATCTTCAAACATTCTATAGGTTTGCTTTAAATATCTTACCTTCCTATATTTTACCTTCTGCTGGAAAAAAATATTTCCTCTTATTAGGTGTCTTCTATGATGTGTCACCTCAAGTTCTAAAATTGACATTTTTGAATGTGTAAAGTAATCTGTTCATAATTTTGCAAAAAAAAATGTATATTATGCATACAGCTATACATACATATATAGATACACAGTGATAGATAGATAGATAGATAGATAGATAGATAGATAGATAGATAGATAGATAGATAGATAGATAGATAGATAGATAGATAGACATTAGATAGATTTGCATGGCACTCTGATAATAAACTGAAACAATGTACTGGCACATGTTAGTGCCTGTTTTAGAGTCTAGAGGGACAGTTTAACATCTTCAAACATTCTATGAGTTTGCTTTAAATATCTATACGACATAAAATAGATATAACAACCAAATAAATATATAAACCTACTAAAACTGTTTGGCAGAAAAAGAAAACTGGACCTTTTGCTGTGCATGCAAACAAAACTACGTGCACTACCTTCAAACAAAGAAATTGATGAGTATTCCTGCTTACAGTAGTCACAGTCAGGGTGGGATTAAAATTATTTAAGCCTCATGGTGGTACCTTGCAGTGCTTGGGTCTTGGGTTCAGTTCCCAGAAAACGCATCTACATGTTGTTTTCTCTACTTGTATTTGCACTCTCCTATGGTGTTGCATTACCTTTCCACATTCGGAAAGCCAGCAGGCATATTAGGCTGCTTTCTGCCAAAATGGCCCTTTTATATGTTTCTTTGTGTGACTGCGGTAGTGACATTAGACCGGAGGCAGGGACTGAGGTGAGTGGTTCAATGGCATCTGTTCCTGTGGAAAAATAAATCAGTAAATGCGCAACTCCACCCAAACATATTTTTTTTTTACATTTTGATATAGTGGTAAAGATTAGGAACTCTATTGTGTTTTTATTGCTGACATTTCCCTTAATGTCCTGTCCATTTCACTGGTATCAGGAAAACAGGAAGTCATGTAACACCTCTTACCGGGGACACCCTTTTACTAGCCGAGCTTTAAATGATTAAAACCTCCATCAGGTTTTTATCAGTATCTCTGTCTCCACTGAGTTTTCTCCTCTGTTCCTGTTCAGATGATGGGTGTCACAACAGGAACTATAATGCAATCTCTTTAATGAGGACACAATATCTAAAACATGACTGAAGTTACTGCTGTATCCAACACTAAAAAAATTATTTTCTATAGGAGTTGGACTATAATTATGCAAGACACATCTGGATAACTCTCGTGTAATTACTAGTTTACACGTTACATTGCCGTTGCTATTTTTCTCTTGCATTCCTCTCATCAACTAAAGTTTCACTAAAGACTTATTCAATGTTACGGTATGCTGACTGTCAGGTATGCTGTGTAGGCATTTATACTGTATATGTCTTTATTTTATATAAAACTCAGGAAAACTTACATTGACACAAAGAATTCATGTCACTGCGCTATCAGCTCTGTAACCTCCCATGTATCAGGTATCTACCAGTGAAATGTGATAAACTGGGGGGGGCCTAGACAATACAATCTTATGATTTATATATGAAGTGATATTATCATAAAACATTGCTTCCATAAAGTATGTTGCAGATTGTGAGATTGTGCGACTCATTTATAGAACATAGTTCATTTTGTTTTATTTGAAGATAAATGTAAAATTCAAGGTTATCAGATTGTCACATAGTAGCATATGAAATCATGCATTATGCTAAAATAATCACCCCTACCTGTCTCTCTCAGTATGTCAGTGCTGAATGTACAGTAGTTGGGTGTGCATGGAATGGCAATGAGTGTAGAGGGCCAGCACAGAATACTTATACAGGGCACATTACATGCATGAAAAGGCTGCATGCATAGATGTGGGGATTATTGTTTTTAAGAGTCTTTGGATAGCAGTAAAGGTCTACAAAGGAAAGCCATGGGACTAATCTGGGTTAATGTGGTTCCTTATTGTAAAAGCATTAACTGCCCAGTTTCCTCAGAATTGATATTTCTGTTTAGGGCAGATATTGAATAACAATTTCATGTACCTGTTAGGGACTCTGGTAGATCATTGTGCTTGCGTTTTTACGCATTTCTACCCCGTTGATGCCATGGCATGGGATTGCTACATACTTTAACTCTTTTGCATTGTATGTGAAGGAAAAGAAAAAGGAGTGGCAACACTTAGATCTCTAAGGTTTACAGGAACAGAGCCAGGAGCATTGTCAGAGAGATCTTACTGCTGGAGTCCCCAGTACATATCAGAAACTTGCAGTTTGAGCGCACGCGACTGAAATATTGAATGGACTGAGCAATTAACATCTAAATGAACTGTCATCTTAAATCTGCTAAATACATATTAGGTGCATGACAACTAAAGGTGTGCAAAGTCCTACATTTTGTTTTCTACAGGAAACATACAAAGCTTGAGTAGAAAAGACTGTCCCTGCCAGCATGCTGTAAAGAAGGACTCTTGCTCTCGGTGTTGAAGCAGTGGTCTCTCTGCTGAGGTGTGACATACCCCCTGCTGAGTCAGAGCAAGAGCTCTCCAATCTGCAAAGTGCATGCTCTACAGTATCAGGGGACATTATTTTCTACTTTTTAAGAAAAATTAACTAAGACTTTAGTAAACTTTTTCTTTTGATGTACCTGGAATGTATTTTGCTTGTTTAAACTGAAAGTCTAATTAGGCTTTAGAGTAGAGCTCTTACCTAAAAACAAAAATGGTTTTGTGTTATAATTATGGATCTACCACAAAGGTGTGTAGGTACTCATGTGCCACTTACAATGGTCACTTAGCAACAGATGTAGGGGTGAGTCTACTCTATGCAGGCAGGGTATCGTCTGGAGGTTTTAGGAACAAAATGACCAGGTAGATCCTTTTCACCTTTTCTGAAGGAAAAGGTGGCCATGATAGTTCATCTCTCTAAATATGTGAGTTCCTCCACTTCTTGAAATCATAGCCCCATAATATTGCCACTTAAAGTTAAACACAATATCAATGTCAATTACAGTAACTTATCAGAAAAATCATAATATAAAGAAAAGTCCTCATTAGTAGTACATGGATAATGTTGTCAAAAGAAGGTTTTTGCACTCAAAAGCGTCTGAACGCAAAATAGTGCGTTTGACCTGCTTTGACTGTAAAGCACATGCACAATGATCTCAAGTAGGACTTAGGCTGCATCCAACAAAACCTAAAATGCAGCCTCAGAATTGTCATCTACACTGCAACATAGAAGTGTATAGTAATCTACTCACCTACTGTATGTTTGACTTGTGTTTCAAAATCAGGAAAACAACACCCATGTACACAACCCCTTGTGGCCCTTAGAATTCAAAGATATGATCCAAACAGCTTCTATTCCTTCTATCGCCTGTGGTTGGGGGGGGGTTCATATTTTATTGTAGTGAAATAAAAGCAGAAATTGGAATTATATCGTAGTATGCATACAACACTCTTACTTGCATCTGCAGAATAAAAATGTGGAATAGTACTTAGCAATCAAGTATTCCTTGTTTTTTTAAGCTGGCTAAAGATCTAAAAGACAGTCAATCTCGCATGTACTATCCGGTCCAAGTATGTCTATGGCCCGCCTTTCCCTAAACAAGTGTAGCACTATAGTGCCAACTTCAATCAGAATTGGGCCTGAGATAGCTAACAGCTTATTACAAATGTCCCATGCAAACATACATGGCAGTAAGGCCTCAGGTGCATTTAACATTAAGTGTGGTGCTTCTGCAGTTTGTCCTATAAAAGTGTCACCAGTCAATTTGGTTACAATAAACTTAAACCAGTATATTAACTTGTATCAGATATGGAAAGGAGGTGAAGAAAATAATAGAATATAATAGGATGGTCTCAATCACCAGTCTAGGCTCTGATCCTCTTCAAAGGCTATCAAGCCCTCTATCTATCTTGTGGTATGTTTTCCCTCAGCCAGTCACTTACCACATCCTCCTAGCGGGGGACAGTCAAAGGTGCTTCCACAAGGCCAGTTACTCTGCTTTCAGGAATTTTGGAGTGGAGACTGCAACCTTAGCACAGGAAAAGCTCCAGGCAAGTCATTAGCACATCATCCTTGGGCATAAGCCCAGGAGAGAAAGACAGTGTGGTAGGAAGTGTGCCAAATATTTAACACCTTACCGAGCACACATCACCATATATGTAGAAAAATACTAAATCAGGAATGACCAGATTGCTGAATGTGCATGTTAAAGTGAGTGGAGAGAAGAGGAAGAAGCATTGAGGATAATGCTCCTGGCGGCATCTTATCTCCATAAAAAATATGGTGATTGGACAGGGGTTTTTAATCTTTCCAATCAATCTTAACCCCAGTCAGCAGTCCCTTCCAACTTTACCCACCGGGGCAACCACAGACTTGTGATCATCACCCACTCCAGCCATCTGTTCATCTCATGCCTATAGTCTGCTTTATTTCCACAGCTCGGCTGATAAAGAGTACTGTACCATAAACAAATCAAACATCTTAACAAATGCTAATTATGTCAACAGGAGTTAAAGAACAATGTGTGTTTTATTTCACCTAAGGAAATATTGTGTCATAAGAAGTGATTAAAGCTTCCAGCACTGTTGAGAA